GACTCGATGCGTGTGACGCAGGAGCGGATTGAACGCTGTTAGCTGAGCGAAATTCGCTCAAGCAGCTCATCCGATGGTGACCACGCATACGCCGTGCAAGCAAGCTTCTGGTCTGATTCACTTTGCAAAAAGGTGGCGTTCCGTTCGCTCTACCCTTCTGCGCACCAGTTTCGGCCGATGAGAATGAGGATGAGCGATGAGCGATGAGCGAAATGTGCTCAACGAGCAAAATACGCTCAACGTTCGCTGGGTCGCTCGCCTACCTGTCTGGCCTGAAATGGGGAGGGGAGCGTGTCGTTTCTGGACTCCTGCGCGGAATTATGCACATATGCATGCGACACACCTCTATGTTCAGCCTTGCCTTGGCGCACACGCGGCGGCGGCGGCAGTGGCAGGCCTGAGATCGGTATTGCTGTTGCGATCGTGAGGGGCCGTAATGTCGTGCGACAGCGCTGTGACTGCCCAGGTGCCTTTGCTATAGTCGAGAGGACGCCTTAATCTGCACGCATGCAGCATGCGCGGCCGGCTGCTCAGCTGAACATATTGTGATTTGAGTCCTTTTTGCTCGTGCGAGCTGAGCCATGACAGTTGCGACTCTGCACTGCGCTGTGTGGCGCACGCGCCGAGGCTCACACGACACTGTGACTGTGACTCTGTGGCAAGGCGCTGTGCCAGCGGTAGTTTTGAGCGTCAGAGGCTGAGCGGTATGCAGCGGCGGCGGCGGCGACCTAGCTGTGCCCTTATCGAGCGGCGAGTTGCCTCGCCCCTTGCGGTCCATATGCGCTTGACTGGGCGTGTGGGACAGAGCTGAGCACACAGCATAGCGTGCAATTTGAATAGGGTGCACACAGCCCCGTCCGAAAAGCTATAAATGCAGGGGTCTCCATCCATTGAATACATGCCCTTCCTCTTCACACCTCAGCACTACTCTCGACGCACCACACAATCGCTCTCCAAGCTGCTCCTCGATTTCTTTGTCATCAACTCGCTACTCAACACACTACTATACATCCACAATGGCTTGCCCCTGCGCTGAACCAGACAACACCGCTGCTGCTTGCACTTGCGCAAAGGGAGACTGCAAGTGCAGCGCCAACGAGTGCAAGTGCCCTTCTTGGTGAGTGGAGCGAGGCGG